AAAAATAATAATAAATGTTTGGTTATTACGTCTCGCTGCAGGTTTCATATATAGTCTTTGTCTCGACCGAACGAAGATCCCAACAACGATTGTTTCTCCAGCAAAGTCTCCACTATACATAATACAATATCTGCCCCTACGAGCGTATCGATAAAATAACACGTGGATTACACACTCTATACGTAGCCGACAAGAAGCAACGATGACCTCCGGCCTGTTTATATACGGCAGTTCGTGACCATCGCGCGTGGTCCAAATCCCCCGGGAGAGCCAGGTATAAGTCCAAATTCATCCGGGTCGATTAAAGGTTAGAATACACACGACAAACGCGTTTTATAGGCCAATCGATACTATTGTGTCAACCCACCGACCGGTGATCTTTGGCTGAGATATTTAGCGCAATATTATTAAACAAATAGCCCCATAAAACAATGTGCACAACAATGGAATATTATTACAAGAGCTTCGCCAGCTTTTATAGTTCATCTGATATTCCTCAAGTTAATTTTTTCTCTTTATTACACCTGATGTGAATACTTGATATTGACCATCCGTGAGAACGGAACTGTTGAACGGGATAAACGTGATGCTAAGTTACAATTTTTTTTGCATTTTTATTACAATCACTTTTTTGTTCTACTGTCATTTGTATACAAATTTGACACACTTTTTGTCGAGCCTTTAAGATAATATTTTTCATGTAACGATGAAATATACACGTTATCATGGAATATCTTAGGTACAATTTCGTTTTCCTGGATGAGGCGTGTGTCAAAGGGAGTGCAGGGGGTACTTACCTATAATAGGTATTTTGTTTTCTTTGTTTTCTTAACGCACGATATAAGAGAAGAATTTAGGTTCATGAACTTTCAAAAAAGCACAACTGTCTGGTTGAACTTATCATTTGTAATAAATTTCTTAAAAATTAAATTTGACCATATTTTAATCTATAATAGATTATTACAAAATATTTTTCAAATCTTAAAACTACTACAAGAAAGCAAGCTCAGCTGAGAATGTGATCATTGTTTTCAATTTGACTTTCAATCTTTTAATCAATTCTAGCTTATTATTTTCTGCGACAATTTACGCATTATGGTGAAAGTAATTTCTTATTTTTTTTCAACAATTAAACAATATAGTCCGTTACACTATATTTATTATGCTCGTTCAAAATCTTAACACCCCAAGTGTATTATATAGTCAAAGTTTAAGAAGTGCTGAATTATCGTTCTTTACCATTATACACATTAAACAGATAAAATACAAATTTATAGTGGTGCCTCTCAAAACATGTATGGCATTGAACATAAATAATATATTCAAGTTAATATCGATTGTATAAGAAGCATTCTGCAGCGACTACAATTTTTTTGGGGCGCGTAATCGTCATCTCTTATATTTAGGCCACTAATGATTAAAGATATTTTTTATGTTAATACTTACGGTGGACGGTGGATATTTTTATTTAATTGGACATGCGTTGTAAAAGTGGAATGTCTACGAAAATTAGTACATGTTAATTAAGATTTATTTATCATTATAATGCAGTTATAATATGCCAGTATTTCGCACACAGATGTATCTCGTGCAGGTTATAATATATATTTTTTTTATCTTCGACTTCCTGTGAATGTTATTCTATGAATAATACATTTCGTATAAAGTACACGCATACACGTACTTATATACTATTGTTAAACAGTCCCCTATACTAACATTACCCGAGTGCGTATCGTCTTTGTACAAGAAAATTACCCCAAGACGACCACACACGCGGTAAAAGCGTAGAAAAAGAATAAAGTAATAATAAGATGAAAGACGGGCGAGAAAATAACAGTGATGTCGATTTATTTGTCGGAACCCAGGGAGACTGAGTAAGGGAAATCCGAGAGACTGGTTATGTAAATACACCCCGTGTTTATTTTTTATTCCCGTTTGTTATTATTGTTATTAGTGTAATTCGGACAACTCGATTACGCTTTTGAGGCCAGAGTGGTAATATTTTCCACACTTTAATTGGATAATACTTCAATGGTGATCAGAAGACGTAAATAAATGGTAAAAAATGAACGGCTATAATTTTGTCCAACATCACATAAACACATTAATCGTTTAGTCGTGTATGCGGCAGTTTAGTGTCCCAAACATAAAACCATAAAAATAAGGTTTTTTTTAGAATAATTTATAACATTATTCAAGAATTTGAATAATATAGTTCACGAGCTGGTGTCCCGCGACCGATAAAAACATAAAATATCTCGTATTGTTCAAGATTACATTAGGTACCTATCATTTTTTTTAAATTTATATCGAAATAGGTACTTTATTATAACTAGAGAAATGCACACATTTTAATACCTAATTAAAATATTATTACAATATGTGTACATTTTTTATTTTTTATTCTAGGAACTTCGACACAAGCCTTTTACTGTTCAACAACTCGTCGACGAATTTATCGGACCGTACTACGTGAATTACAGCGAAACACGTGCGGTTCTCGTGAGGCAAGCAAAACAATTGCTGACAAACGTATACCAAGGTGATGTCGACAACTTTCATGGGTGTTTTTGTGTGCCAGTCAGCGAAATTCTAAAAAAAGTTGAAGAGACGTTCAGAAAATATCAGGTATTTATGACGAGTTATACCACTATGGTTTAGAAATAGTTCATAGAGTAATAATATTATAAAATACTATATTAAATCGAATGCGATTAGTAAAAGTCAATGGTTGGTTTACGTCCTTGAGATAAGATTGAAGTTGTAGTCGTTTCTCGAACAAATCGTAGTCGTGAAATCATGTTAAATGCGATTATATAAGCAATACGAGTGGCTCAAGTTGTAGCTTAAACTTGTATTTGAATTCACAATGACTGTTCATGTCATTTTTGATAAATATCTTCTGCCGGTTGTAGATTTATGGTGTTCGTGCACGCATTGCACTTTCAGTGGGTGCACCATTTGTTATTGTTATTTCGAGTACTTAGAGCAATGGAGGGGTTGGTTTCATGTGCATTGATGAAGATTCTGCATTGGCCGTGTATACATAAAGGGTTGGTTGTATGATGAAAAACTTACTGTTGTGTGAGTGGATAACGGTGTTTTTATTCGATTAATGGAGAACATGACGCATACGGAGTATATATCTACTACTATACAGCGGAGTTCAGTATGCATTCAGACCTAACATGACAATGAAACGTGTTTCAAATTTCCCACGATTGCGTGTTTTCGTACTGCCAAGGGTGTAAAATATAAATGGCTGTATACACATTACACATAACATTTAATAGGGTTCGAAAAATGGTTGTGACAAGACATAATTTGTGGTCATACCTAATAATAATATAATTTAATTAAAATAGTTGCGGTCATGATTATTTACTGTTTTTTTGTCATCGCTCTAATGGCAACGCCTCTTCATCGCCATTCGATTATAACAATACAACGTATATTATGCCAACCTATTTTAAATTGAACTATAAATCATTTTGATGTATATACACACAACGTGTTTATTATAGGTATCGACTAAACTGTACAAAAAGTATCGTCGTATATTATACATACACATTACACGCGTTAAATATATTTTCTGTAAACCTTTTTTTCATTACCCTCGTTCATGTTATTCATGCGACAACTATATACATAACTATGGGTACTCGTATAAAACTTGATTGTATGTTTTAACTATAACAGATTATTTTATATGGAAGGGTGGAACCCGTTTGGATCAATTAAAACAAATTTAACACATTTGGCTAAATGCCGGGGACCCGTTTAGACCTCATAATATTAGGTACCCGATATTTAACTGTTGTAATCAAATTCAAGCATAAATATTATAATACTTCAAATAATCAGTGGATATCTTTTAGTAATACTGGGGAAATGGGCATATAAGATAAAATGATAATATATAGTGTATTGGACAATTTTCGATAGTTATGCGTAAATGCGTAATGAAATATGGTCTTGAATCATACGAGTAATTATATAAAATACTATCATATGAGATATATTATATTTGGTCTGTAAGCAGTATGCCTATAATGCACATATAGATCAATAAACACAAATATTTTTTTTATTTAATTATTGATAAATAATTCGAAGCCTTGCATTCGGTTTAAGTGTCTGTGTTATGGACACATTTGTGCATTAATCATATCTAAACATCTTTTGGCGTTTGTCATAATAATTTCAGCTTTCATATCTACTGCATAGCAAACAAAATTATAGAGTATGACACATGCACGGATACAGAGCAAAGATCTAGGGGGGTCCAACAATTTTTTTACAACACAAATATAATTATAATAAAATATTATAATTTATTCTTAATTGAAAAATGTTGTCATAGTAATAAGTATGTAGGTAATCAATGTGATAAATAAATTATTGATTATATAATATATAAGGCTACAATTTGAAAATGAGTTTAGGTTCAGATTAATATTACAAATCAACAATATATAATGCACAATAATACTGTACTTTATATTTATATGATAATATTAGGTTAAAGTGATTTACTAGAAGTCTTCATACAGCTCGCTAGTGTCGCTACCTACGTGATTATTTAACCTGCAAGGGTTTCCGAGCATTTGTCAAACATTCCCGGCCTCCCGCATAATATATAACATTTAAATATAATAAATTCTAATTTATAAATAACTTACTGTCGTATAAGCATCTGGGAGTAGCTATATACAAGGGTCCTGCGAATGATATATTGTGCGACTTTAGGATGGCATTTTACCTTGACTCCTGGTGCGTAATCCTCGGGGAACGGACGGCACGTGTCGCCGGGACTCGGAGGTTTAACGAGCCCCGTTTCGCCACAGCACACAATATTATACTCTCGAACGGCGTCTCGAAATTGCCTGATTGGTAATAGATTGAGAGATTTGAGGTCGGAATTTCATCGCACTGTATGTGTGCTTCATACAATTAATGCACTCTGAGAACGAGAAAAAATTAACTTGACAAGATCAGACGGTGTAGACGATCGCGGAGGAAATGGTCTCGTGGTATGCACTACTGCGGTCGGAACCTTGGGGTTTAGAACCTTGCCGGATTTCGTTGATAAATGTTTCGATGACTACTTTCCGAACGTGTCCACTAGTGAATTTCACATACAGTGAGGCTAATATCATAAGACCCTTGGGCCTCCGTCGACCACAGCGATCACCGTCCATGTCATTGTAAACGGTTACTCTGGGCCCTAGGGTAGGTCCCGTATATTATACGACGGAATTGTTCCGTATCTCAGATTTTTGTCCGGTGAAGAAAGTTCTAAGGGACACATTTTGTCCCGTATACCTAAATCCCGTTTTTCCTAACTTTTGACATTTATTTTATAATAAAATCGTTTTATTTTCGATATTAATTTTGTATGACATTAATACATTATTCAATAAAATATTAGAATCTATAGGTACTTTTCAGTGGTATTTCTGGATTCTTGTTTTGACCATTTTAGAGTGTATAAAATATAAAATTAATAATGTCACATTGTTGTAGGTACCTACCTAATAAGTAACAATACTGTATTTGCGTATATTTGGATATTGTTAGACTCTGGCACAATCACTCCGACCTGTAGTTGTTGTACAATTTGTGCGTGTTACGAACTATAATATTTTATAATATCTATGTAATGTATTTTAAATTTGTCATTATTAATTTGTACATGGCTGATATACAGTCAGCTGCACTCTGAATTAAGTTTACGTATATGATTTGTGAGGATATATTGTATTGGTTTTGAAAGTTCAAGTCATACTTATTGTTATTGAGTATTGACTGTCTGACTGTATAGACAAAGTAGACTTTGGATTACCTGCAGTGTGCGAGTGCGTGACATACGTATTCACTTTTATTGTGCATATAATATATACCTATAATAGTATAATATATTTGGAATATGGTTGATGGTTCCATTATTTGGAGCCTATTTACTCTAATTCAGTATATGCGATTCAATTGAACGAGTTCAAAAATGCTTCCTGAAATTCGTAACTTTTAAACTATATCTCCCTTTGGAACCCCATATAACTATCAATACTTCAATTTGTACATAACTGGATTCAATCACTCGACGTGAAGCTGTGGATATATCTACCATTCCTATAGAATTTTAACAATGGCCACATTACTCTCCTATATTTATTGGATTATATTCAGTTTGAAGTCACTCTTCATCATCACAGATCTCCCTCGTTTTTCTATGCCCCGTATCAAAATTCTAATTTCACAAAAACTCACCCTTATCTAGAGGTTTGTCTCTATGCAATTGTTATTCTAACTTTGATTTCTTCTCTGATTCATAGAATATGATAACTATAAGCGTCACTAAATGTATATTACACTTTATTGTTTTTTTTTTTATCTTTTAATTATATTGTTGGTTATCACTTTACAAATTATCTAGGTACCAACTGTTATTAATATTCCAATGGAATAAAATATGTATAATCTCAGAAGGGTGTGAATTCGGCGGGATGAAAGAAAAAAGTGCATTGTGTATAGGACGGTTTAGTCTTCAGATTCATAATAATAATAATATAACTGACCTGATGGCTGATACAATACATTTTAATACATTTGATTAGAGCAATCGAGATATATTAAGATTTTATTTTGATTTAATACAACGCTATAATTCAATTTATACATAGGCATTACAATATAAACACTTGAGCAAGTTTTATAAGTGTGTATAGAATACAAACTGTGTTTGCATGAGTGTCTGCCAAAATGGAAATCAAATCAAAACAATATTAATTTTGTTTTATTAAATTATGCATCACGATACATATATTATATATTATTATGTTTAAACAAAACTAATAAAAACATTTATATAGTCACGCCAATTGCAGACAAGCTAACCATGGAAATATAATATGTTGAAGCTTCCGGATTCCTGTGGAGTGGGTAGTAAACAAATAAAATATCATAGTGAGAACAGAGTTCAATTTTTTACGACTCTACAACACAATAATTTGAAATAATGCCAATACCAAGATTTAGTTTAGCTATAAACCTCATTTATAGATGTTGTTCTACATTTACTTGATCACGAAATCTGAATTTTACATGTCACAATTCACAATAGAACTTTTTTTAATCCCTATATTATACCTATATGTATTATATTTATATTATGTATGCCTATGAGCAAGTCCGACAAATTAGCATTTGGTCTAGTAATAAAATAACAGTATTAAACATGAATTAACATAATTAAAATTGAACTCTATTTGTATTTCCATGTACAATAGAATGAGGTTTGATTAAAACCTAGATTGAGTGAACATGTATGGTTTTTATTTGTTATTATCATCATTATTTTAACGAACGCCTTGCGTTATAGTATCGACCAAGCCTTATTGTTTGTACGTGATCGATGGCTGCTTTTTTTCCTCTTATATAGAGACGAGAACAATAATAATAATAGCAATTATTATTACTATTACTATTATTATTATTATTATTACAGCTGAAAGGACTGTGTAGCTCACAAAAGGAAGACTACTCTCGTCTCGTATTTATATATAAAATAGTCAATGTTATTAAAAATTATTCGTTTCGGGCACCGCCGGTCATGACCTAAGACATTTTTCCCATGTCTTGGGTTATACAGTCACCAAAGTCTTTATTAATTTAAATTTCGGCTTACATCAAAACCAAACTTGTTTTCAACACAGGTGACCCTTGTGTTGTTTATGACAAAAAATAATACTGCATTTTATAAAAAGTCATATATATTCTATACTTACTCTTATTTATTTCGATAAATATGGTGATTTTAGAATAATATTATAACTGTTTTCTTATGTATGAAATAATAGTTTTTCAGGCTTATAGAACAGTTATATTTCACTGTTGGAGTAGTAACATTACAACCACTTCAGTTGTTTCTTACTTAAATTGTTTATTTTTTAAATTGAAGAGTAACTGTTTTAATTGAATTTAATAAATTAAAATGATACAATTGAATAACGTTAATTGTTTAATCAATTAATTTCAAGGTTTATTATAGTCTGTAACAATATATTATGTTTTGAACATTTTTTTTTTATGAAAGAAGATTGTACCAACATATTTATTTCATTGTACGCAATCATTAGAAAATAATGTATAACACAGTATATTTAACATTTAAACATGGTTACTGAAAGTATTACATTTTTTGGAATAACCATAGTTACCAATTATTTATGTAAATCATTAATGATTTAAATTATTAAATATGCATTTTACTTTATAGTTTATTATACTTTTAAACATTCATAACAGACTTTATGCCTCTATATTATATTATATTGTATTGTTTAAACTTCATTCTATTCTTGAAATCATCTTTTTAACAGATATTATACCTAGATATTTTATAATTTGTAGAGAGTAAATCCGAATTACTTACAATATGTAGTATGTACAATTTTATGTCAAAACTTGATTAATTGATGAAATTAATCGTAACTACAACAATTTTTTTCTCTTCAAACGTAAATTACATTCAATTTTATAGTACCTACATAATTATTATATTAGTATCCTAACTAAAAAATTCAAATTATTTTATTACTCGTGTTTAATATTATATTACACTACTATATTCTTATTTAGTACCTACCTATACATAGAAAACATAAAAGACTCAAAATAAATATTAAAATGTTAAAGTATTACTGTTATTTAAATTTTGTACCTATCAATTTTGAGAGAATTTATATTACATGTAATATAAATTCTCTCAACTGTAATTATTTCATGCATGAAAAAATGTTAGTGGTGCAGATCTGTAGGTTAAGTGGTGTATTTCATCTATTTTTTAAATCTAACCGTATGTACATTGTACAATGTACATCATAAATTAATTAAAAAAAAATTAACGAACCCGTTGCCGTTAAATATTAAGAAGATTTTACCTACAATAAATCCTAGTACAGATACTGTTACATGGTATTTTTGGCTTCAATGCAGAGTTCATTTCACCGCGCGGTCTCGCCATAGGAAATTAGCTGGTTAGATGTACATGTCGTGATCATGATTGATCGTTCTTTACTTTTTTTTTTTTTTAAATAACTATACAAACTATTGTATGGTACCTAGGTATTATAATATAATATTATTAATAATCGTTTTGTTTGTTTTGCTAGTGATGAATAATTTGTTCACGATTGAAAAGTGAAAACTCGCACGAATCCGCTTTGGGGTTAGTTTCTTGAACGGGGAAAATATGGCCATAAATAAAATCGGCGAAACGTAAAAATACCAAAAAAAAAGCACTTATAATTTATATTATATATTTTAATCAAATGGGTATCGCGGATTATCGTAATATCGTTATCAACGCACACAGCGTGGCGTTATGTTTCCTTCGGGGTAAATAATATTACATATATTATACATTATACGTACACAGGTATTTTGTTGGCATATGATTATAAAATGTGGCTTTCCAATGAATGACCGAGAAACGTTTACAGCACGAGATGCCGCAGATTGCGTTTGAGTTTCCGATGCACCGAACTGTTGGCTGTCGTGAACCCTGACGGCTACCACGAATGTTTTTTTTTTCTTTTTCGGATTCGTATCTATTTACTTCCATCGATGTGTATAATGTTCACCAACTCTTCCTCTAGTCATGTAATATTATTCCGACGTGCTTAGAGACCTGCGACTTGGCGCGAAGGGCGTGCGGCAAATTGTTTCCCACCCCTCCGGGTCATTTCCTCTTTGGGCGGACAGCCGAAGATCTCATTTCGTCCATATGAGTGGCTTGTTCGGCTTTTTCTCCGCATGCAGTTTCTCCGACACGTAAATAAGGTGTATTAAGTAGGCTGTACGCCATTTTGTCCGATGTAACGATACCTGGGTCACGCGTTCAGGATCGTAATGAGAGTCTGAGACACGATTATAGAATGTGTGGACGTTGTGACATTTTAATTTTATTTATTAGTAGGTATATTGGGACGAATCTTGGGACCTGATACACTTGTCGTGTTCTGGGGAAAGTTACTGATTTCTCGCAATTTTTTTTCGTTTACAAATTTAATCAACCTCCCGGGTATAATGTGTTAAAAAATAAACTTTTAAACTTAAAATGTAAAACCCGCTCAGCATTATACGCTGCTCCGCGGTTACTATAATGAATTCATTAGACTTATCACTCCATATCTTATAT